CAAATACCTGTACTTTCTACTTCTTACATGTTGAACACAAATACCTGTACTTTCTACTTCTCACATGTTGAACACAAATACCTGTACTTTCTACTTCTTACATGTTGAACACAAATACCTGTACTTTCTACTTCTTACATGTTGAACACAAACACCTGTACTTTCTACTTCTTACATGTTGAACACAAACACCTGTACTTTCTACTTCTTACATTTTCCAAACAGGCTGGTTCCTTTAGTTTGAATGTGTGTTTGGTGGCGTGATCATTATTATTTAGAGTCATTGCGTGCCTATTGATTTGAACACGATCCGTGTATCCATCATTTCCTGATCTTCTCTAAAGAAGAGGGACCAATGAAAACGTTGTCATGTTGCCGTTGTTCAGCATGGAAACATTCATTAGCTAACAATGACATTATTGTTCTATTAATATAAAGGGAGGTCAGGTACTCTTTAAAACAGCTGCTAGTTACGGGTACTTTTTACTGAAGTACATTTCAAAGCCTCTTTACTTTGACTTGAGTAAAGAAGTTTAGTCAGTACTTCTACTTTCACCAGAGTATTTTTAAACACGAGTATCTGTACTTCTACTTGAGTAAAGGACATGTGTACTTTTACCATTTCCGGCTGATATAAACCCAATCCATTATATACGGGGTTTCAGGGTAACCCCAAACAAAAGTAACTAAACTGTTATTATCATGGATATTAGTTGGTGTGTTTCACAGTCTGTTATCATCCACAGCATATGTACTGTTTGCCTTACATTGGAGAGGTGGGATTATCAAATTAAACAACTATGGCTGAATCTAGCAAAATGTTCGCCTACTGTCAGTGAGCAATTCATACAGGGATATATTTTTTGGAAACAGCACCCAAGGGAGTCCCAGAAGTCCATGCCGCCAAAATGATGTATAATTTGAAAACATGCCCTTGCACGTAGCTCCAATGTCTGGCTGTGCTGTTTAGTTCCAAAATGTTTTAAGCATTCAGGAGCAGAGATACAACAGCCGTCCTCCAATTAAAGCATATTTTGAGCAATCTGCCGATAAAGATCGCAAAAGCGGAAAGCAGCTACACCACAGAATGTAAATGGAGGAGAATATGAGAAGATTGTAAATCAACAAGGTACAATGGCTTTTAGCTCTTGCCAGCTTGTGTATTTCTTTGCGCGGTAGGAAACCAATGCATCAGGTGTCTTATGTTGTTCCACCCTTCACTTTGTTAGATTTATAGATGTTACACCATGCAGAAACACACTTGCAGAAAAGGATTTGCCTGTGCGTCAGAGGAGTGGAGGGACAACTTGAGCTGGACTGTTTATATTCTTGAAATGTGGATGGAAGATGGATGCTGAAGTAGTGAAGGAGGGCAAGTAATGAAGGATGCAGGAAGTATAGCAAGACAAGAAGCATGTGAACTTTTAACCGCAGACTGACGTCAATGTAGAATCAGAAAATGAATCCTAATTACACGAGTTAGGATGAATAACGGTGAGTTGGCACCGGTTTGAACTTCTCACTAGTCAAAGGTTTAGTGAGCATATCTGTAATCAACAGCTACAGACACACACACACTCTGCATCAACTCTACTACTGTGACCCTCAAGCAGCTCTCATGGCAATTCCCTATGTTAATCAGCCGTCTCTACGCGGAACATGTCTGAAACGCATTACTCATGCTCATATTGTGCAATCAACCATTAGCGGAAGAAACCTCATGAAAGGTTGTTCGGGTCTGCACCAGAATGCTAATTATAAAAGAGCTGAAACAAGGGGCAGGGGCTTCAGTGGCCACTGGTGTCCAACTAGCAATTAAACATCTTGAGTCTATTCACTGCACTGTTAGTGTGCTTTCTGTACAGAGTCTATGCACACACATTTAAACCCAGAATGTTTGTTAACATTTTCTGGGCCATTTGTTTGGTTTGAAACCGTTTGAAAGTATCAGAACAAAATATAAACAGGAAAGACAGACAGAAGGCCACTTTAAAACACAGTCACAGATAATGAAGCTGTGTCTTTTGGATTGTGAGTCTGAGTGTGAGGAATGTAGGACATGCTGAGCGGCTGTGTTCTGTTATGCTGCTGTTATGACTGTGCATTGGGAAGATAGCACAATAGTTGCACATTCTTACTCAGATTGAATTATTCATTTGACACCAAACATTGCAGTTCTGTCTGTGAACGGAAATAATAGCATTTATTTTTTGATAAACTTTGTTTGTCAAACACATAAGGTTTACTTTCTATTGAGTCAGAATGTCCAACTGTCCAATTGGTTTATTGGACAGGTAGTTTGGCCTAGCTTGAAAATACAGTTCTTTTGAGAGTGCTTTCCAATCACTAAATACTGTTGCCATGCAGTTGCTGGTATGTTTTCCCATTTTTGGGAATAGTGTGTGTGTGTGTGTGTGTGTGTGTGTGTGTGTGTGTGTGTGTGTGTGTGTGTGTGTGTGTGTGTGTGTGTGTGTGTGTGTAATAGCTGAACGTTTTTTTACTGTGAATGATAAATCCTCTAACCAAAAGCCTTGGCAAATTAAGGCACCATACAAATCTCAGTGGTTTTGCATACTTAATTTTTTTTTTTCAATAAGGCTGTTGACACAAGCTTTCAGACTGAAAAAAACCTAAAACATAATACATTTAATTACAGATTTCAGTGTTTTCAGTGCATGCATGGTCTGAGTAATAGTGATGACAATGGAAAGCCCTTCTTTTGAAGCCACCACCATTTTTACTTATGTTTTTGGTTCAGTTTGTTGGTTTGTTTGTCAGCAGGAAAAACTACCGGCCCAATTTTCATGAACACTCGTAGAAAGGTGTAACATGGTCCAAGGAAGCTAATTGAATTTGAAAAATAATCCAAAATTCTCGTGGAAACAGCCTTGGCAAAGGTCGGTTGTCAGTTTGTTATTAAACTGCAGTAGCTCGTTCACCATGTCAGCCGAATGCTAATCCTGCTCCAGTTTAACAGCCCACCTTATGCCAAGTTTCCATGTCACCCTCCAGCAGGTTCACACACTGTCCTAGGGTGTATTGTGTCAAAGAGACTTGTAGTGTTAAATGGTTGCTAAGATCTCAGTAGGTGGTACCTGATTAATCCTGAATGTAGGCATGTAAAAAAGCAGCATATATGTGTTTAAATGTGAGATTAAAATAGATCCCGTAGTCTCTCAGGGTGTTAAAGGTCACCTATTATGCAAAATCCACTTTTTCATGTCTTTTATGCATGAACATGTGTCCCCACTTGCCACTTTATGATGTCATAACGATTTTTTGGCTTGTGTAACCATTAGCCAATCAGCAACCAAGGTAACCCTCCCCCCCCCTTATCACCTGAATCTCCTCCTAGAGCACCATTGAGTTCTTTTTAACCAAATGTCTCTCAGAGGGGCGTGGGGAGGGGCTCCTTATTTTCATCTAAAGTAACAGACAGAGAATCAGCACTTTGGAAACAGGGCTGAAACAGAGGGGATTATGGGTAATGCTGCAATGATCTGTTTGGTGTTTCTGCCAATCAGAGACAGGCTCTGTATATATCTGAGACCGATAATATATTGATGAAAAACAGTATAATAGGGGACCTTTAATTTGCCGGATTTGTATTGTTTCCATGTAAGAAAGTATCACTATGACAAGGTTCGAATTGTACCACTTGAGTCCAGATAGAATTTTATGATTCTGATAATTTCTTGTAGATAAAGTTCAACTCTGAGATCAAACTTGCCGTCACCAGTACTCGGACATACAGATATTCTCAATAAAGCCAAGAGACTGTATCAATCACATCCACTGCTGATCCTTTGACTCAGTCCTGGCGGAGGTATGAATGTCTTATGATTTAGCTCTGGCTGAATGGACACCAAGCCTGGGCCGTCATTCAACTCTCAGCCGTGTATTTGGCCCAGATCTCTGCCAACAAACATTTGCTGTTTTTTGCTCCAAGAAATGTGCTTGGCAATAAGTCAGGATCCTCGGTGTGTGTGTGTGTGTGTGTGCGTGCGTGCGTGCGTGCGTGCGTGCGACTTTGTTTATACGCCTTGTGATCTTTGCTTATTCCAGAGAAACTGACTCTCCCTTGTCGTTCTGCTCTCTTCTCTGGCCATTCTGTGATGTATGTGTGTGTAAGTGTGTGATCATATCTCATCAAGAAGAGCCAGGGCTTCCTCCACAACACACACACACACACACACACACACACACACACACACACTTTCATTTCAAATGTGTCCATGTAGTGAGTAATGTTACTGAAAGTTATCCAAGCTTTTATGGACTGGTTAGCTGAAAAGCAACACTTCTAAGTTAAACCGAATATGTTTTATTTTTTTATTTAAACTTAATATGATTGCTTTGAACCAACCTAATACATTTATGTATTAAAAAAAACTAAACTGCATCAAACTACACTAAGAAATCAAAGACTTAAAAGCACATTTTCTTGATTTAATGTAGATACATATGTTTTTAATTATTACGTATGGGTCAGGGGTCAGGGAGTGGAGCATCACATAAACACAAATACAAAATGAATTGATTCAATTGATTGAGTTACACTGAGTTACTTCACAAACATCTAAACATAAACAAAATAATGAATGTATTTCCACTCCTGTTGATAACAAGGCATCATTAAGAACACATCATCAATGTCTATTAACTACACACACATCAAACTACAATGTTATGTTAAAAACTTAAGAGACAGCTGAATTCAAGAAAAACATCAATCAGAGTATTAAAGGGACATGTTGCTGCCCTGAACAAACAGAAACGTTGACTTTAATTAAATGTTTTCTGTCAACAAATTTCACAGAACTCTATTCGGTTAGTTGAAAGCGATAATATCAAGTTGAACCTATTTCAACTTTATTTTATTGCCTTCAACTAACCTAATACAGTTATGTGGAATCTATCCATCTAATTAAAGTCAGTTTATTCATTGTGATTTTCATTTCCATGATCAGCCGTCAAACCCATGTTAATCCATGTATACAATCTCCTCCTCACAAAGAAAAGGATGGTCATGCAAACAGTTTTCATCCGTCCACGTGTAATCGCTCGTGTTTTTGCCGATGACACCACATATGTGTGATGAGGGCGGCTCAGGCACGAATCCATTCTTCCAGTTATTGTAAGACACTGTACTGTCTCTCCAGATCCAGAACCCAAAGACACGACTCTGCCTCAGGGCGATCCAGAACGGACCAACCAAATCGCTGCGTTCGAGCCATTTTTTGACAGCGTCCTGATCTTCCTTGTCCTCAATCCACAGCAGGCCTGAGTGTTTGGTCTTGCAGTACACAAAGGCTTCTTCCCAATTCAAACTCTGATTGATCACTTTGATTCTCATGTCACCTGATGATGAAACCAGGGAGAACACTGAAGTACGATTTACAGGTAGACACAAACGTTTATTCACAAACATAAAGTATGTGTACTTTTACTATGGGATTGAAATGTATAACTTGTACTGTTCTTGACTCTAATGAAGGCATCTTTCACTTTAGACTGCATTTTGCATCAAAATATACATTCCTATATTTACAAAGCACTGCCAGAAGTTCAGTTGACTTTTTGACGGATAACATCGACATGTGTTTAATTTGAATAGAGTTATTTCGTCTTGACATTTCCTCATGTCACACTGTTATTACCAGTGCAACATCAGTGCTTATAGTGTCCTCTAAACATTTTCCCACCACATGTATAGATTTTGTGTTTGTTTGAACTTGATCCTTTTATTAAATGTAACATTATATTGGAATTGCTTTGCATAAATATTACTTACCTTTGGAGCAATATGTTTGTTTATCGTCATTACAATCAACTTCATTCATTTGTCCATCTGTGTAAGATATGCAGCTTTCTATTTCTGGACCTGGATCGCGTGCCTCGAACGTTCTGAATGAAGAGCAGCCGTTGTCCTCCCACTTCCATTCATCGTGCATGAGTCCTATCCAGAAGCTTCTGTTGTTTCCCTTTTCAAGCACTAAGCCATTTTCCTTTTCGCTATGGATGCTGACCAAGTCACTGCCGTTCGTTCTGCAGTATTTCAGAGCATGACACCAGTCCTCCTCTTTGTCAATCAGGGTGTAGGTACCATCTGCAAATAATAAATATTTATCTCACTTGAGGTGTGTGTGTGTGTGTGTGTGTGTGTGTGTGTGTGTGTGTGTGTGTGTGTGTGTGTGTGTGTGTGTGTGTGTGTGTGTGTGTGTGTGTGTGTGTGTGTGTGTGTGTGTGTGTGTGTGTGTGTGTGTGTGTGTGTGTGTGTGTGTGTGTGTGTGTAGTAGTAGTATAGTAGTAGACTACACGAGACACGTAACGTAAG